CATAGGAATGACTTGCCAAGCGTTGTGTTTGCGATCGTGGTGCCTTGTTTTGAGCGGCGTTTGGTGTTAACGCAACAGCACCTGACACTCAATGATGAATGCCCCTCCCATTCACTAAGATGGAACCTGACTGAGGGGTCCTGGCAGACTATTCCCTCACACGGAACCCCTTGTTCCATGTCAGTGGACAGTAAGGTACACTTGCAAGGGTTGCGCAATATGGAATTTGGCGTTGTTTTGAGGACTACAGCTGTTGAGTGATTGGACTTCTCGAGTACGTACTGAGGTGAAAACTGCAGACATATGGCAGTGATTTTTTTTGAGGGGTCTGTAACAGAGCCGCGGCGGACATTCGTTACAGACCTCGTTACAGACCTCTGTAACAAAACCAGCTGGCTCGATACACACCCCTCGTTACACACCCTCGTTACACACCCTCGTTACACGCCCTCGTTACACACCTCAGATGAGCAAACCGGGCCAGTGACGTGACTGCCCTCCTTTTGCAGCAGCTTGGCTTGCGTTGAATAGCTGCAATCAAGTGCTTTGCTTTGCCTTGTTACAGACCTCGTTTCATAGCCGTTACATACCTCGTTACAGACCCAGCCCCAGCCCGGGCCAGCGACCCCCTTTTTGCCGCAGCTTGGCTTGCGTTGAGTAGCTGCAAGCAAGCTGGTGCTGCGGAGGCGCGCTTTGCGTACTGCGCTTCGCTTTGCCTCGTGACAGACCTCGTTACATAGCCGTTACATACTTCGTTGCAGGCCCAACCCCCAGCCCGGGCCAGCGACCCCGCTTTTTGCCGCAGTTTGGCTTGCGTTGAGTAGCTGCAATCAAGCTGGAGCTGCGGAGGCGCGCTTTGCGTCCTGCGCTTGGCTTTGCCTCGTTACAGACCCCGTCACATAGCCATTACATACCTCGTTGTGCTGCGCTACATCGTGCTACTGATACTTCTTGTCAGGAAATGTTTGTCCCGTTACAGACCTGCGTAACAAGGACCTCCGTTACAGACCTCCGTAACAAGATTCGTGGCGCGTCGCGCGTTACAGACCCCTAAAAAAAATCATAGCCATATATTTATACATATATATATATATACATATATATATTTATACATATATGTGTAATCTGTAGTCACGGTGTGCCAAGACCAATATATTCCTGCGAGAGTCAACAAACGTTGATAGTGTTTGTTCATTGATCGGTGAGGCAGTATTCCTTGGACGGTCCAGCACGTGGCTTTTCTACTGGCCATGCCACGTTCATTCACATACTGCGAGGATGGTGTTTCGCCCCAAAGGGCTTAAACCTCCAGTGGTTCTTTCGTGTCCAGCAAAGAACTCCTTGGTTTAAGTGTTGTTTGGGATAGCCAAAGCATTCAGGTAACCCTTAGTTGGTGGTTTGGATTGGTGGTTTGGAAATTCGAACCCCTTGTTCTTGTGAGTAAACGGGTGATTTCAGCCCCCGAAGTGTTTTCAACCACTATTCCCCAACCTTGAGGGAAGCTTCCCCTACAAGGACTCAAAAACAGGGGTCAAACAAATTCCTTGGCTGGTTGGTTGGTTGGTTGGTTGCTTTGGTTGGCCTTGGTTTGGTTGGTTCGTTGCTTGGTTGCTTGCTTGCTTGGTTGGTTGGTTGGTTGGTTTGGTTGGTTTGGTTGGTTTGGTTGGTTTGGTTGGCCTTAATTTAGTTGATTGGTTGCTTGCTTGCTTGCTTGCTTGCTTGCTTGCTTGCTTGCTTGGTTGGTTGGTTGGTTTGGTTGGTTTGGTTGGCCTTAATTTAGTTGATTGGTTGCTTGGTTGCTTGCTTGCTTGCTTGCTTGCTTGCTTGGCTGCTTGGTTGGTTGGTTGGTTGGTTGGTTGGTTTGGTTGGTTTGGTTGGCCTTGGTTTGGTTGCTTGGTTGCTTGCTTGCTTGCTTGCTTGGTTTGGTTGGTTGCTTGCTTGCTTGCTTGCTTGCTTGCTTGCTTGCTTGCTTGGCTGCTTGGTTGGTTGGTTTGGTTGGTTTGGTTGGCCTTGGTTTGGTTGCTTGGTTGCTTGCTTGGTTGCTTGGTTGCTTGGTTGGTTGGTTGGTTGGTTGGTTTGGTTGGTTTGGTTGGTTGGTTTGTTTGTTTGCTTGGTTTGGTTGGTTGGTTGCTTGGTTGGCCTTGGTTTTACTTGTTTTTTGGGATAGCCAAGACATGGATCCCAGGCCACTTGCTGCACCACGGCTCCGCGTCCGTAGCCTTCGCCGTCACCAAGTCCGGGGGGCACTGCGGCTGGTTCTGCGGATGGTCAGCGGTGTCCTGGGCCAACGAGGCAGGGCCCAAATGACGACATATATATATATAGTATAATATTATATATATATATATATATGTAGCCCTTGCAAGCATGGTTACAACCAAGTTATAACCCTTGTAGCCATGGCTACAGCCAGGTTATATAACCCTTACAACCATGATGGCATCCAAGTTATACCCCGTATAAGCATGGGTGTGCGAGTTGTCGTTTTTGTTGGTTTTCGTCCTCTTGGCTGGAGTGGTTGGTGCAAGTCACGACTTGTTGTTTGTTTTTCTGTTTAAGACCAATCCATGTCAATGTAACAAGAAGCAGGATCTGCCCACCATCCATCCCGCGCCAATCAAGTTCACAGCCAAATATTGCTCATGCCGATGTCTGCTGGCCCATTTCTACGCGAGAGCGCACAAGGGATATAGTTTGTGGAGGCCGGGGCATGCGTTGCCCCGCATTTCTAGTGCCAGCCCTCATCGGCTTGCTGTGCATGGGTGTGTGTGTGTGTGTTTATGTGTGTTTGTATGGACGATTTCTTAGATGCGGTAGGCACGCAGGAAATTATTGGATTGCAGTGACAGCAGAAAAAAACCTGACTTGCAAGAAACATGTGTAGATAATCGGAAAATATTCCGTATAGTGGAAACCCACCAGCCAGACTTGGAAACGCCATGCTGGTCCGCAGAAAAGGAATCATATTATGTTCAGCAGAGTTGGCATCTTTGGGGAAGTTTGAGGATTTGCTTCGAAGGCCGGGCCGGTGCATCTTGTGTCTTTTCTTGCTCGCGGGCGTTCCTCTCCGGCATTCTGCTTCGCTTCGCTGTTGTCGCGGGTCTTGTCAGGTGGCGCTCGAGTTTTTCCAAGAGGTCTTGCAGAAGACCACGCCAAGCCAATGACGTGGCCGGCTTTTTCCGAATTCGAGCTTCGAGATCTTTTCGTCCTCGCCATTCTATTTCCTATCGCCCAGTGGCCCTACGGCAGGGTCCGCTTTGTTCAATGTCACGTCTTTTTGGACAAGTCACGGGGAACAAGCTTAGGGTGCTGTGCGGCATGGCAGATATTGAAAGTACCATCCAGGGTCACAAAGGCCAAGAATTCTAGACGAATGTCTGGCCATGGCTGTTGCAGAGCGCAACAGGGAGCAACTTACAAGTGATGCCATGGCATCCGCAGATCCAGAGATCAAGCAAAGTTGAACTGCTTCCCATGGTTCCCAGTGTTTGAACGAGCTCACCCAGAACAAAGGTCTTTTACCGGAGCTGGAACGCATAGGTTGGAACTAAGCTGGCAACACGAGCAAACGAATGGCTCCGGCGCCGGGCGCCAGTGGGCGGGATCCGAAGCACTCGTCAAACTGTCGCGCCCTTTTCGCCCGGGTGGAAGAGCCACTCGCGCCGCCGGGGCTGGTTGGCTTTGCTTTGGGACATATGCGGTCAACAGACCGTATTTCGGGCTAGTGGGACGGGTCACCCCTTCGGACGCAATATGTTCATGTCCGAGCGTAGAGCTTCGGGTGGATGGCTTGGTTTCCCAACTGCATGTTGAACAGCGCCTGCAAACTTCACGCAACTCCGAAAATGGTCAGTCACCACAAAAAAGGAGTTGGGGAAGTGGCGGGGGAAGATCTCAGCGCCCTTGGCCCCCAAGGGGCGAGGCGAATTGTAAAAAGGAATGTAGACATCCACCAGAAGGCAAGGGAACCTCACTTCCTCAGTTCATGAATTTTGAGCTTTTTGGGAAGACCATTTTAGTGGCAAATATAAAGTTTGGACTTTTTTTGGGCCATCCACTCAGCATGTGAGGAACCACAACTAAGACAGGCGTAGGGAGTTTTGATGGCGCCTTCAACCCAGGAGGCAGGATATGAAGCTCATCAGTCGGCCAAAGCATGGCAACCTGCCCGGTAGAATTATGGCAAATCGTGCACTAATCATTTTCCGGCCGATTTGCAAAGGGAAGGGGCGCGATCACATTGGCTTAATCATATATATATATATATTACAAAAAACAAACACAAAAACCTTATTATTATTCGCAAAAAACAAAAAAGGCCAACGCAATGTCAATGTCAAGAAGAGAGTTTCAAGGCCCAGGTTCGCTCGTGACTTCCCTTTGGGTAGACGCCGCTGCTAGTTTTGGCCTCCTGGCTGCGCCCAGGCTGCCACCCTTGTGGCTCCTCATCAACTTAACGGAGAAAGAAACGCTCTGCTCGTTGATACTGTGGGTGGACCGAATCCTGCACCAACCAAGAATCCCTGGCATGATGATTCCCTTGTAATTGCCAACAAACCATGGTTGCCCATGGTTTCCAAGTGGTGCGAGACGGATTTCGTCCACCCACAGTATTGGGGAGGTTGACTTGAGCCGGGAAAAGGCGCTGCAAGTGGCGAGCGCAAGCGTGAGAAAGCGGGAGCGGGTGTGTTTTGCGTTGTCATGAGATTGTTTGGAGCAAGCTGGAATGCGTCATTGCAACTATTGGTCACGCAGAAACTGCCTCTCTTGGCCTGAAGAGTCATTGAGCTCGACTGGAAGACCTCGTTTGTTGACTGCAGTTGCGCGGAACAGTAGGAGAAGGGGCCTTGCCCAGTGGCCATCAATGGAGCCTTGCAGAATCCAACGGCCACCTTGACCTACTGCAACTTGAGGGCAAGCTGATGTCCATTTGGCCGGGCGCAATCAACCCGTGAAGTCTGAAAGTGTTACCCTTTTCCTCTGTGCATTTTGTCCTGAAGGTGAAAAAGACCGCGCTGGACAAGGTCACAGTGCAGGGGGGTCCTGCGACAGGAACACACAAAGAAGGCAGGGCCCCTGATTCCTGTCAAAGGCGAATAGTCTTCATGAAGCATACCCGTTCAATTAGTTCCGAGCCGATGTTTTGTTTTTGGTGAACTGTTTGGATGCAAGTTCTATTTATCTGACATACTGAGAGGCCTTGAATTCCGCTTGTGTGCGCCAAACTAGCTGGCATTCTTGTTTCGAACTCAAGGTTGAACTGTCGAAACCGGTTTGGGTCGTTTTGTTTGGCCTCATTCAGCATGAGCATCACCTTCCCCCTCCCCGATGGACTGGGCCTTTTTCAGTTGTTGGTGGCCCTCTTAGTCAGTGGCACCCATTGTGCCTCTCTGCCAATGTGTTTTTGGCGTTTACATGAGCCATGAACAGCAAGCCCGGGTGTCCATTGTCAGTGTTTCTGTCGCTTCCAGCTGCGCAATGTGAATATGACCGTGTTGGAGCAGTTCAGAAGCTGACGTGGTGAAATTCGGAGCTGTGTGAAGGTTTCTCAATCATGGGAACCTCTGTGTAAGGGCCATCGACGGGGCAGCCAACAAGGCCTTCGAAAGATGATCGTGCAGTAGAATTAACTACTATAATTATGTAGCGCATTCAATCATTTGTTTCTCCACCAAACATTGCGTGTAGCACCAGTAGAGTGTATTTGCAGGCCCATTCTTGTTCCTGCTGCAAGCTGCAATTTCGAGACGTGACCCATTGTTGGATTGTCGGAAGAGAAGGGATCATAGGCTAGGGAGGCTTGCCAGTGTCCTCATAGCCTGATCTTGAAAGGAATCTGGAGCTTTCAAGCATGCCTATGGGTCCTCGAATATGTTCAAGCGCAAGCACACTTTCTTCGCTGGCAGTGTTGTTTTGTTGTTTGTTCTCGAAGCAGCAGTGAATACACACAATTGAGCACACGGATACGCACATCTTTCAATCATGTCCTAATTTAGTTTTAAAATACCCCACAACCCTATTCATTTATTTGGGCTCATATAGTAGGGATCCATCCATGTGGAACGGATAGAATCACTCAAGCTTCACCTATAACCAGGCTGGATCGAGCATGACCAAGAGACGGGGCAAAAGAAGCTCGTGGTCTACCTCAGAGATAAGGGCCCGAATGATGCTTGTCATTTGACGTGTCGTGCGTGGGGGCGCAAGGAAAACGGCTGTTTCGGCGTTTCGGCCTCAAAGTAAAGCCAGTCCAATGGACAGTGCAGCTGTGCATTGTCTCAAGAAGCCATGCGCATGCCATGCGCTCTTTCAATCAAACAGCCTGACTGCAACAAACCTCCAGTTTGGCTCCATGGGAGGGGGTGATTTGTACTACCATTTGCTTTGAGGTACTGGACCATTTGTTCTACAGGTCAGGCTTCCTTTCCGCCGGCCTCCGCCGACCATGCGGCCAAATGAGTTTCCATTGGATGCAGCAAGCTGAATGCGGGAAGGGGAATGTCTCAATGGAAATTCTCTTTCGAATGGACTTTACATAAACCCAAGCGGGAGTTCTCTAAGCTGATGTTACGTTTGGCCGGATTTCGCTCACCCGCCTCTCAAGTTTGACACATGCGGCCGGCATTTGACAGACATACAGCCGCATTCTGTGTCGCCCAGCTCCCAAAGAAGCCGCAGCGCTCGTTCAGTTGGGTTTTGTGGCATGGCAAGCGTTCGGCAGCTTGACCAGCAGCAGATTTAGAATTGTTGTCCAAATGTTAAGAGATGTAAGACATGAAGATATTATACCGGAGATTCATAATCCTAATATAAGATTTCCTGTATTTGAAGGTGATAAAGTCGTAAGATAAGTGGGTAATGGTGGATACAATGTTCATCCTGTACCACCTCCAAGTTTTGAGATTAAAGAAGGAAAACACATGACAGTAAAATCATGATGCAAGAACAATTGTTGAGTCTGGGTTAAAACGCTTCTGGAGATCCTTGAAAGATAGGTACAACATAATTTCCAAACCCTTGCGCATGCCCACGCCTTTAAGTTCACAACCATTTGGATATTATATGTATATACATACACATATGTTCTTAATTGTTGTTTGCTTATAGATGAAGTCATGTATCAAGCTTGCTTCATGTTTCCAGCGTGCTTTATGTAACCCACAAGCTGTAGACTGTAGTTGTGCCTGCACTCCTCCTACATACTGAAGTCAACTCATCATTGCGCGTTGCTCCACGTTTCCTTTTGGCAAGAATCAGGAGAGTCCGTGTCAGCACTTGGCCATCTCCTGGAGAATGGGTTTGGTATGTTTGTTGCTGGCTTCTAATGAAGTACTGGACCACGCCGATATGCCGACGTCATCCGACATCTGGGAAAACGTGTTTCACTTGTGCTTGGCCACCTTGCATGAATCCTCCATAAGTGCAATGACGGCTATGTTTCCTAGACCTTGACGCGCTTCTGACACAGCACCTTGCTTTTAGTTCAGCTTCTGCTTGTTGTTTTCCCATGGCCATGACTCGGCTCCGCGACTAAGGACCACGCGTACAAGCCTTCGGCGCGAGGGATCATGCGTGTCGGTCTGGTTCTGCTTTTTTAGCTTTCATGTAGAGGTGATGATTCAGCATCTTCCAGGAGAGCCTTGTGCCATCACAGTACGCTGCGTTGTGTTCCACAGCAGAGCAGCTTTTACAAATGATGGATGTTAGCTTCAGGGGAAGCCCCACAAGGCCCACGAAGTTGTGTGCGTGGGCCCCGCGGGTTGACACAGACGAAGCCACTTTGCGAAGGCTATAGAGTCAATTTAGCATTGGTGTTGCATGGCTTTGTGTCTTATATGGGCTTACATGTAGTCCCCTTTCAGCAAAGCCTTTGTGAAGCCGGGAACCAAATTCCATACCTTCAAGGCCCAACACCTTTGATAGCGAGGCTCATTGTTGTTGCCGCGCCCATCGCATTTTTGACGAAGGCCACTCGGTTCCGCAAAGCTGCCCCTTCGAAGCCACTTCGAAGCCACCAGCTTGTTGCCAAACCGCAAAGGCTGGCCCTGTCCACAAACCCTGGCGCAAAGCCCGCGGCATAGGCACCGTGGATAAGCCCGGAACGTGTAACTGGCCCCATGATTTTACCATGATCTTCTGACTTTGATATCCAGAAACAGTCAACATAATGACCTCAGTTTAAACTAATTCAATGCTGAGCTGAGCTGTCATTTGTGGTGCGTCATAGCTCAAGGCATTCAGCCATCATGTTGGGGTTGCCTTCAGCCAGATTCAGTGTCTCGTTTGGAGTGGCAATGCTCAGCACAAAAAGACAAATCCGCAATGTGGTGTTAAATCATGGCCGTGTTTGCAACGTTGCTGTGTTTGTTTTGTCATGTGCACCAAGCTTGGGGCTACCTGTATGATGCTAGCACGGCAACAGCTCATTGAACATTGGCAGGCCACGGAGAGCAAGCCGCACTCCGTCTCCTGGATTTGCGCAGGGTTTCTTGTGCAGCAGGTCGTGTGTGGTTTTGCGTCGAAGGATTTGATTTGGTGACGGCTGATGGGGAAGTGGTGGGCCCTTGCCAGACTCCCAAATCCATCGAGCAAACACTGGATGTGCGCTTGCCATGAGGAAGTGTTCAGCGTCAATACGCTGCAAACAGTCAAACAGCAAGACGACATCATTCAGCACCAAAGACCAGGCATGCTGAGCGTGACACTGCTTGGCTTCCGGTACCGGGCTTTGGGAATCAGCATACATATGGTAAGCCATATATGTTTTTCCTGTTTGAACTTGGTTGCCATCAAGGTTTACTAAATATGTTGGTCAGAGCGAAACTGAAATATTTCTATAGAAAGATTCGGATCCCTGGAAAGAATGGGGAAGGTAGCACTAGAACATGTATTTGTTTGGCAGAGGGGGAAGAAGCTGAGGTCGGCACGGCTTTACTTCCATGGACTCCGACGGAACAAAGTGTCTAAAGCAATCTGTTCACTGCTTTTGAGTGGATGTTCGGGACACTGGGCTTTCCAAAGGACGTAGTTGTGTTAGTTTTTTCAAATGTATGTTTTGGTGTTAGAATTTCATTATCATCACTATCATCATCATTATTTTCAATTGAATTAATTGTTTGATCATTTTAATCGTACCGTCAAAGGTGCCCTTTACCCCACCAGTGCTTCATTGCATGGGATGCCCCTACCCAGGTACACTACCGCCGTGACCAAGTGCCTGGGGACCTTGCTGTACTTCTGCTGGCCTGTGTTCGTCACACGACCGCTGCGTGGCTTTGGCAGAGCAACATGAGAGACGCGCGCGCGCGATAAGAGGCAAGGCCCTGCCAAAAACGTGGAAAACTGAGAATGTACCCTTCCTCCAACTTGGCACCTGCGGGGAGGTACCTGAAATATTCATTCCCTTTTGAAGGGAGCGTTGCCATGTTAGTTGGAGGGAGGGTATCCCTAAAGGAAAGTGGGGGTCCTTCGTTGTTGCAAGCAAAGCTGAGGCGTGTACCGCTGGGAACAACGGAGCGAGAGCAACAAAGTGGAGCTTGCTTCCAGGATCCAAGGTTTGCCATGGAGATGAGATTGTTTCAGTAGCACTGAGGCAGCACATTTGTCTAATGGGTTGAACAACTTACTAGACTTGTGGTGGGCAAGTATTGAAGATGCCTTTCATTTCGTCCCCGAATTAGTCATCAATACACCTTGTACATAGATACTTTTGTCATACCCAACATTGCCGAATACTACGTGAAAACTAGGCAATACTCAACCTGTTTTAGATTCTCCAGATTTCTCGCCGACCCCCAACTTCAGTGGGGGCTTTCCAAGGACTCCTCAAAGCCAGTTGAATTTGGATTGTACATTGCAACTTTAGTTTTGCATTCAATCTTGAATTGATAAATCCAAAGTGCTTCCATTTTGAAATACGTACTCCGCAGATCACTATGTCAACGCCTTTTTTGAAGAACCTGGGGGAACCCCGTTTGGACGAGGAGTTTTATTTGGGTAAAGTGATTCCTCGCCGCAAGCAACTTGAGTTCTTGCCGCTTGGACGGCGCATTTTCTCCCCTCAACTCTACACCTCTCGCGCGCTTGAGGTGTTGTGGCGGAGCTGCTGAAGTTCCTGACCACGCCCCCGGCCACAAAGCTGGAGCGGAAGCAGTTCGACGAGGAGACACCGGCGAAAAACGGAGAAGAAAAAAAACACGGTTTTTGCGCCCGAAAACCCTTCACTCGAGCATGTGAGTGGGGGTGGTTCTGCCTGGTGCATGGGGATCAACGGGTTTTGAGCGACTGGCAGACCTGTGGAAAGCCAGCGACTCCGGCACATGCCCATGGACACGCGAAAGGTTCAGCGCGACAGAAGTCAACTGGGCAAACAGATGTGGTGTGTCTGTATCTATGCTATGTTCTGACGTCATACATGTGTGGAACACTAACATGCGTCTTGAATCTTGAATTGCACATTTGACATCATAATGGCGATTCAGGATTGATCAACCTCTGGTTGGTTGATAAGGGGGTGTCCCAGTTTAGAGGGGATCCTTCTGTTATTGGGAGAGCCCAGGTTGATAAATCCCAGGATCAACATGTTCTAGAGCAACACTGTAAGGCACAGCAAGTTGCGTAGTGTCAGCGCCCGAACGCAGCTTGTTGCAGTCCTCCCAACATGGCTGCACAGGTAATACAAGGGCTAACTAATGACTAAATGGATTCTGACTTCATTTGCTCAAGTTTTCCGCTCCCCCATTCGTGGTATTCAGGCTCTGGTAGTATGTCCAATCTGACGAGCAGCCTACAGTTTACTGATACAATGGACCGAGACCTCGCCCATGAATCAAGCGGTCTGCGTAGCAAAGGCATGTGATATACATGGTTTACTAGCATTTGAACACTTAAGAGCCCCGATAAGCAAGACTCCCTTGAAACCGTGTTATGTTAATCGTGCCTGGGTAGTTGCTTTGGGCAGCAGCCTGACTGTGAATGAGAACATTATGCCTTCAATTGCGAGAAATAGCTGGAAATACCCAGTCAGGCACTTCTCAACGTTGCTGCATCAAACTCGAGTGGCCACATCGGCCAAGACGAGGAACACAACATGCGGGGCATTCCCTCGAACCTTGCTCATGCTGCGTGCGGTGTGGGAAATGATGAGCCATGCCCTGGATGAGTTGCCCTTTCGACTTGAAACCCCGGCACGGGCAGATACAATTTGTGTTATTGTTGCTGCGCATAGTGTAGCAACCCCCTGAACTTGGAGCTGCTCTGCTGCGGCATACATGTGTTTTTGGACTGCATTCACACGGTGGATGCGCACATATACATATGTATATAAATATAATTAAATATATGTGTTATATATATATAGTGTATATATATAGAGTATAATATATATATATATATATAGATTTATACATAGCATAATATGATGATAGCCAATATATATTATATATCTTGTTTAATAAAGTTTAGAATAAACTTGCGTAACACTGGCGCTAAGGCTAGCTGTCGTTTGAAACTAGATGAGAACGGAATCAGAGGAGATAGCCCGACAGATAGATAGTCAGCTTGAGAGAGACAGCCTGAAAACAGATTGGTTGCTAGGCCGATAGCTCAATAGATAGTCAGATACAGACGCGCAATCGCAAGTGAGACCGCAGGTTCCATGACCATTGCAATGAGGCCGAGCGGGATCGCTAAAGTAAAAGCAAGCGCCCCCATAGTAAGTACATTTTGCAGCAACTTCCGCGCGGCACTACTGGCATAGACTGTTGCATCAACGACAGCCAATTCACTCAAGACGAAAGCACCAAGCCACCAAGCCTGCAGCCTGCATTGCAATCGGTCCCTTCTTTGACCCGGAGCAACGCCATCAAGTCTCACACGCGGTTCAATGATTCAAGGTCCAGCTCTGCAATAGAGCTTGGGGAACTCCGCAATGATGCCAGAACGACAGCGTGCCAAACCGAACAATGTAAACCTGGCAGCCAGAATGGGGCGGGCGGGGGGCGGATGCCCCGCCTTGTCAAAACCTGGTGCTCTATTTCAACAGACATGGAGATTGCACACCACAGGTCCGCCTCTCTTGGCCTTTCAGGAGGAGCAGACCAAGAACATCTGGTCCATCCTGAGCGCGGCAGGCAGCCTTTTCGCTAGCTTCGTGAGTCACGAGTTTGGTGGCTGCTTGGTACATACAAAGTGCAGAGAGGCGTTTGATCTGGTCGCGGACATGTTGTGAGGCTGCTTTAAACATTGCATTTGCTTCCTTCGCGGCCTGGGGTGTACGAGTCGCGGCCTGGGGTGTACGAATCAGCAGCGACACAATGTGTAAAGACTATCTTGCACAGAATTGCACCAAGCGTGTTTCATAAGCCGCAGGCAGATACTTTGCTTTGACAAGTGACACGGTTTGTGGCCAAAAACCATGTTAGTAAAATTTGCAACCTTTGGTAGGTGCGTTTCTCCACCAGCTTGTCCCGTGTTGCTTCTATTCGCGGAGAGCGGCGACATAGTGCCGGATCTGCTGCACGGCTGCGTTGGTTTTATATGGTTTCATGTTTGATTTTCACAATCAGCATGCGGGCAACAAAACAAGAGCACACGTATGCAGCATCCGGATCCGGGGTAATATAAATTACGCGGCTGACGTGGTTCAAACTGTGCTCGGACAGCTCTCCATCCAATTTGCTCAGGTTACAGTAAGGACGCCTACGTGGACATTGTCCTGAGAAATAGCAGCTTCTGGACAGCTACGCAGGAGCGAATGCACTGAGAAAGTGCACTCCAAGATAAGTTGCGTGCGTTTTGTGCCAAGCTCCGATCCGGCTTCTTTGTGTTGTAGGATGATTCAAGATGGTACCATGATTCAAGGCTGGAAGCAATTGGAGAGGATCGTGCCCCCCTTAAGGTACTTGCACTCAACAGTTGCCGTAATTTGCACTCGATGATTCGTTTTTTCGTTTTGACAGACTTGGTCCATCACCAGGTAGACCACGGCCAGTTTGGAGGACTTGGCCTCCAGGAGATGCAAAGGTAGACCAGACCGGCTTGAATAGAATATATGCGGAGTGGCCCATGCAACATTCAGGATTGATTTGGTGTTTTTGTTTGTTTCATGAACAGCCAGTAAAACAAAAAGCGAACGCGTAAGATCCTTACATTGGCCTTGTGCCGACTTCTTGGCACCGCAAATGAAGCTGATGATTCCGAAGACTTCGGGATCTGGCAAAACTCTTCATTGTTTTGGACTGAAAGTCACATTTGTTCTTGTCGGGTTGAAGACCTTAGATGCTTTGGCGGGTTTTACCATGCCTCTTTCCGCATGTCCATCCCAGCTGCGGAGAATCACTGGGCCTTTCACTTCAGGAAAGTCCTTGTTTCTAAGAGACTGCGCGAGGCTCCGCGCATCTGTCAGGGCTGTGCTTCCTTAACTCGTAAGGGGATCAATCCGTCTCCATGTGAACGATGCTGCTGGACGGCGGAGCTTTGAGTACGAACTATTTATTCACAAGAACGCCCGGACGTTGCATAGCAGTCAATCGCATCCTAGAAGGTAATATATCCAGCTCAGTGTTTGGCAACACCAGAAAGGTATATTACTCATGTACTAGTGTTCCTGTACATGTTTATGACTATTGGCAGCATGATCAAGTCATAAGTCCGCTATCATCATTGATCATGTATGCTATGTACCTTTTAGCACACTGTGTCAAGTCACGTGTCTTGATTAGTCGGGGTTGGCCGGAATGGTCATCAACGTTGGAGATCGCGACATCCACAAAACATAGGGGGGATTTCTATTGACCAATGTTCTAAACCTCTTCGGGTTCATGGCCACATCAGACGTGGATGCTGAGTTGTCCCGACATGTAACGTTTAAAACCAGAGACAAAGTTCGTAAATAAAACTTAACCGACTGAGAAATATGTTTTGTTTAATCGTGTTTCACACATATGCAAACCGTTTGTCGGTGCTCTTGCCACCTTTTTTTTCCAGGCAAAACGAAACTCGCCACTGCTCGCGCCAGGATGCCTCGGAGTTCATTTGCTCTGCGGGCGGCGTCGTTGCCTTCCTCCATGGCATGACCAGCACCTTGGCAATGGGTACACACGTAGATAGCTAGGTCCCCCAGCTAGGTGCGCTTTCTCACCCCCTTTTTTGGTTGGGAGGGATCCCCTACTAAAATCGACTACAGAAAAAAGGGTACCCTTATTCTAACCTCTCTACTGGAGGGCCTAGGATAAATAAATACACGCGTGCATACATGCACACCTACATCTACTGTATGCATTTGCGCACTTGCCCGTCAACCAAGCTCCAGGATGAAGGTCTTTTACTTGGAAGTCCCTTAATTCAGCAAACCATGCTGATACATACATGCATACACACATGATGTTAGATGTATTTACATATTGCTGAATGTTGTGATATCATAATATTATGCTATACTAAAGAATGTCATTGCATGCTGCCACACACTGTCGCATTCCGTTGCACTCGGTTGCATACCGCTACTAGTACATACTAGAACATAATGCTCGATTCTGCTAGACATATTGGCACGTGGTATTACAGGACACTGTTCCATACTGATACATGCCATTACATATTGTACATGCATCTGCATACATACTGCTTCATCCTTATGGACTATTATATACTGGTACATGCTGTTGTTGACTGCGACACACAGCTACATACTCTTCCATACCAACATACACTGTTACATCATATTGCATTGTGTCAGATGCCGTCAGATATATAGCTACGTACTTTTAGATCATGTCCTTTCTACATTTTACCGCTACAAACTGGTACATGCATGAATTGCAAACATACATACATTCTAGATTGGACGTAGACGGCACATAGATATTTATATATGTATATACACAACATATATATATATATATATATATGTGTATACACATATATATATATATCCTCATTTGTTACCCAGAGCATCGTTACGAAGAGCATCGTTACCCATGTGTCAAGGATTCTACGAGATCATCGCCACCGGCTTCATTGTCCTCACCTCCACCCTGCTTGGCTTTGTTGCGCGGGCCTCAGATCTCACGGGTCCGGTCTGCCTAGCGGCCTAGCTGACTGGCGAGCTCACCGAGTTGTGGGTGAAACGAGCCCTCCATGACGATGTGTTTTTTTTTTTTTTTGAGGATCTCATGATATCTCTGACATTTTGTTGTTTAACATTTTTTAACTTGAGGATCTCATGATATCTCTATCATGTTTCAGGTTTCAATTTGCCATATGTGCAGACACTCCTGTAGATTGAGATGGAAGCCGAACGGATACCAGACTCCCATTATAAACCTTCCCGCCAAAGAGGCTGCCACGTCAAACTGTTCATTTTGTCGGGGAGCATGTCATGACTGCACCATAAAATGAGAGCCCGTCCGAATGCTTTCTTTGAAATCCCGTTCCCGAAAATGGACCTCAGCATTGATGCGTTGCATTATAGAACGCTTTGGAAATATGCATAGTCAAACGCTATTGGTTGATTCTTTCCGCTATTGCACTGTCAGACGCAACAATGCTCCGCTGCAAGCGCTCGAACATATTCCTTGCACAGACACACACATAGCGCAGAGGACACTGACATGGACACACACGCACACACACACACACACTCAGACGCATGCACAAGCGCCCACATAGACAGGCATTCACAGATATCAGGGACAGCACATACACGCACACGCACACACGTGCGCACACACACACACTGGCACACACACACAGAGACACCCCCCACATGACAGCGACTATGCACGTAAAAAGGATAAGCAATGAATCACACTACTCATTTAGACAGAAATCACCAAGGATGCGTCGAAATTGTTGCAGGAGGGTGCGATCCTATGGCCGAGGTCATGGAGAACGTTCCATGCTTCTCCGACATCAACTCCAGCTGGTACATCGCAGATACCACTAGCATGAGCTTTGTGTCCCTGCTTATCTCCGGCATTGTAGCTTACAGTTGCTCGGCTTGAGGCATCAGCTGCGTGGCTTTTTCTGACTCGTGCCTGCTGGGTACGGGTTTGTTTCTTCTTTTTTTACATGCACTTGTTTGCTTGCTCGCAGACCTGGCTAGAGTTTCCCGCGTTGTAGGGCTTAGGACCTTTGTATCATGCACTTGTTTGTCCGAAACACGCCGTCATGATCGAATGGCCATGTGCTTGATGCTAGGCTTGTTTGCAGTTCGGTTTCCGTCGCTTTTGAGCCACAGCTCTGGATGAGGAGCCGCTCAGCAGTGTTTGAAAACTGACACGGAACATGTTTTCTTCATGTTGTATTGCCGTGTGCACCCGAGGTGAAGTTGACAATGTGGGTTTGTATTGAGGTCTCGTGATGTTGTCACTTATAGGTAATCTCTTCAGCAGTGTGCTCTAGTAAACCCGGCTTTCTTGAATGTATGTGTGTGCGACCCAAGCATAGAATGCCTGCCATATCGTTGTGTTTGTGGTTTTCTGTTGTTGCTGATGATTCTGTAGTTGCTGCTGATGCTGTCGTTTCTGCTGATGATGTTGTTGCTGGTTTTGGTGTTGTTGCTATCAATGCTGGTGTGTTTGTTGGTGCATGTTGGTTTGTGTTCTGTGTTTTGTCCGGGTGTGCGTGGTGTCTTCTTGACTAGTTGTGCTGGTTTGATTGTTTGTTGGTTTTGCTTTATTTGTCTGTTTTTGGTTGGTTGGTTGGTTTGCTCGCGTATGTTTGTTAAATTGTTTGGTTGCTTGATTGGATGGATTGATTGATGGATGGATTGATTGATGGATGGATAAATTGATTGGATTGATTCATTCATTGATTGATTGGTTGATTATTTGATTTCATTGACTAGATTTGTTGTGGTTTGACGTAATTTGATTGATTGATTGGTTGATTGATTGGTTGATTGATTGGTTGATTGATTGATTTGAATTGTTTTGTTTTGATATGATTTCAATTTGCATCATTGATTGTTTTGATTGCTTGCTTGCTTGGTTTGATTGATGGATTGATTGGTTTGTTTGTTTGTTTGGTTGGTCGGTGGGTGGGTGGGTGTTGTTGTTGCTGCTGCTGCTGCTGCTTGTTGTTGTTGTTGTTGTTGTTGTTGTTGTTGTTGTTGTTGTTGCTGTTGCTGTTGCTGTTGCTGTTGCTGTTGCTGTTGCTGTTGCTGTTGCTGTTGCTGTTGCTGTTGCCGCTGCCGCTGCCGCTGCCGCTGCCGCTGCCGCTGCCGCTGCCGCTGCCGCTGCCGCTGCCGCTGCCGCTGCCGCTGCCGCTGCTGCCGCTGCTGGCTGTTGCTCTGGTTACTGTAGGCGCTGCTGCTGCTGTGACACAGCATGATCACTCAGGTTGGATGTCTCTTTTCAACACCACCTCAGACAGCATCTTGGCCTGCTGTGCTGTGTGATGATTTTGTTTGGAACAGCTGCAAAGACCATTCCAAGCAGGAGGCAAGGCACCAGCCGTCGATCCACGAAGCGCCAGTACAACAGCGCTTCGTTTGACAACTTGTTTTGCCAATGTTTGCAGTGCGCTTCTGAAGTCTTGCGCGCGTGTTTTCGTGACATGTTCAGCATTCTGTCTACAATTGTCTACGGTTGGGTAGCATACACACATCATGCCACAAGTTGTGCATGCTTGCGCTTCTTCTGTGCAGAACTCGCTGATGGGATACAGGTACTCATGTTCGAAGCATGCTGCTATTCTTGCAGTGGACATGTTTGTGCTGAATGGGATGTGATTGCGTGCTTTCCATTTGCCTTTCAGTTTCAGCAGTCCAATGGCCTGCGTCCTGAAATTGCCATGTCGCAATCATGACAACATTACAAAATGGGTTGCGGCCTCTCTCCCTCATCAACATTCCTTCATAGGCTCTAGGCTCTATCAAAAGTCAGCTTGACGCACCTTTAGCCCCAACATGTGAGCTCTGGGGGTATAACGAGCCTACCCGAGGGTACCCATGATGAAGGTCCTTTATTGGGTGCATTTTTTGATTTTCAGTCATTAGGGAGTTGCAATTGCTGAGATTAGTTGGTGTGCTGCAACAAGAGTGCTTCTGCCTGACACCTTGATGCGCCGCAAAGATATACTTGCTTCGGCTGGCCAGCCTTCATTTAGGTCCTACTAAGATGCCTGTGGTCGGCAACTCTGTCATGCTGATCTTGTTGCCAATAAAAGCACATTCTTACAATGTCCTATGATCGGTTTGTGTATTTACATACATTACTGTCAACAAGTGCCGTTGAGATATGGAACGCCTGTTGCCGGACATGCAGAGCAATGCACGAGCATTCTGAGGTATCATTTTGGCAATGCGAAGACAAACACTGGGGAAGATGTTTGATGTACATCTGCACTCAGTCGAAACACTGAGTTGCCTTACCTGTTCGAGAATTGCTAAGCTGTTCGCGTTCCACCCAGTTGACAAGGTGCAGTACGCTTCCGCATCCGAAGGCCACAAATTTGAGAATCAGAAAAGGGTCCCAAAGCGCCGGATGCAGGCAGATTTTTCCTTTTTTGCCTGGGAGCCTCTGACCAATCGGAAACCAAGCAGGGCACTGAGTTTGGGCGCACGCCAAAAGGTGCCGGGTACCTTGCTCTTTTTTTGCCTGTTAGTCGGAGTGTCAGGTAACCCCTAAGTAGTGGTTTGGATTGTTGATTTGGGATTTGAACCCTTGGTGTTTGTCGAGGGTAGATGGGAGACCCCTCCATTTCACCTCCAAACCATCCAAACAGCCAACAAAAAGCCAAGCTGAGACTCCGTTGGCTGGTCTCAGGCTGACTCTCTTGTGGAAGTGCTTTTTGTTTTCCCCCCGTTTTCTAGTCTGGCCGTGCAGCTGGTTTCTCGCTTCGCCCAGCTCTTAGGTCTTCTTTACGTTTTCACCTGGGCCCGGCAGTACGCCAGCAAGGACCCCAACTTTCCGCCCATCACGAACGCGCAAGCCAAGGCATGGGCATCCGGAAAGTCGGACGAGTGAAACCACAGCTTGTGTGGTGCGAAGTTTGAACCTGGCTTTAAAAGAAACACAAGCATTCTGGCAGATGTTCTTTCGCAGAGGTGGGTCCGGTTGATTCGCGGACGTGCGGGCTGCTACATTTACTTCTGCAAGTTGGATTAAAGAGATGTCATCCGTTGTGATGTATATACTTTGTGCGAAACAAGAGCTCTACTCGATTGTTGCTTTAGCTGCCTGTTGTTTATTTGTCCCTTTGACATTTGGGTGCCAGTCCCTTGTATATTTGTCGTCTTTGGCAAGTGTTGAGCAATGCTTTGGTTCGAGTCTTGAAAATGCAGGGCTTAGGAGGCATTCAGCTGCAAACGTTCCAGTCCAGACTTCAATACATGTCTGTTCAACTTGGGGGCTTGCTCAACAAAGGCGGAATAGGACGGCCCGGCAACACGAGTTTTTTGCACTCCTGGATGCTCATCCAATAGTCAGTGCAAAAGTTTGTACATGGTCTCTGCGTGTTCTTGTCACGGCTTGCGTGCATGATGATCTTGACACCTCTCGCAAACGAGTTGTTCATGGTGCATTACATTATGTCCAATGTAGCTGTTGCAATTCGTGGTACATAATTCATCATGGTACACATTCATGGTGCCAGCTGTTGCAATGTTGCTGGTAGAACTGTTCACAGGTGTTCATGGGGGCTCCACGCCACGAGGATGAACAGTGAGTGGCATGATGTCGAGGGATTTGATCTCTGGCCCGGGACAAAAATGTTTACGCGGGAATCTGTTGCTTGAGAAGTCCGCAAAATACGATCCTCGAGCCAGGCCAAGGGCAAGACGAAGGTGTGTCCCGAATCTCTCCTGGACTTGGTGGGCGGAGAGGCGAGAGACGAGGGAGCCAAGGCAGACATGATGACATGCCCCTCAAACGAGCCCCAAGAGGCCTTGTTCAATGCAGAACGGTTGGCACAAGTCTGTTTTTAGCTTGCGAGCTACTCACACATACAGGCATGGCAAAGAGGTGTTTCGGATTGGGTTGGTAGGGCAACTTGCTTCGATCGAACCTATTTACGTGGCACCCCACACCAGAATAGGTTGGAAGCGAGCTTCTTGCTTGTGCAGTCCGCGCTTCAGCCGCAAGGACGAACACAGCAAACAATGAAAAAGGGCGGCAACCTACGGGACGACTAGCTGCGTTGAAGTTTTCTAACATCGGTGGGTAAATGGCATTTGGGGCCAAACTGAGTTTCTACCTGCTGGCAAGATCCAAATTGCCCATGTTTGTGTCCCCAAGTTGTGCCAGCGCCCCATTTGCAGGGAAGGAATGTGCCCCAGTTGCGGAGCCTCTGGATTCTTTCTTGCAACTCCATGTCCCAGTCTTAATACCAGCGCACCCCATTAGAACGCACTCAAAACACCTCTGGGGACTGGGAAGGGTTTTCCCTCCCCGAAAGGAAACATCGACGCGCTCGGAATTCGTCCAACCAGGCGGAGAGCGATCCCATGAAAGGCCTGAAGGACTCCACGAAAGGCCGCAGCCAGGCTCTTCGTCTTCGGGTTCGGGGTGCGGGTCTGTGGGTCCGTGGGTCTGGTCTTGGGGTTCCTTGGGTTTTCTTGGGTTTCTTGGGTTTCTTTGGGTGTCCTGGGATGTGGGATCCTTTTCGGGTTTTGGGTCAAATTTGACCAAACCTCAAGGGTAGGACATGGGCTCAATTTTGGGTTTCCTTCAAAGAAGTGCTTGCCCTGATGATCGAGGTTTTTTTTTTCTGAGCAACCCTGAAAATGATTCCGCCATTTCCCCGAAAGGGTTGGATGTCGGAAACCACCATGTGGGGAGCCCAAATCAAAGTGAGCTTCTCTTGGGAGAAGTTTAAAAGGGAATTCAAAAACTCTGACGGGATTCTTTGGACCAGGAACAGAAGGCAGCATTTGGTTGAGGAGACATGGTGTTCAGTGTTGCCAAGAACGCTGCTTGAGTTGAAGGAAAGAATCCACAAAGAGCCACAGGCGCCAAGAACCGCCTGTTCCAACAAATCAGAGATCCGCATTGCCGAATATTCCCTGATCAAGTTGGACATCACCAATTGCTTGCAGCTGCGAAGATGGGGGACAGAGGCTGTTTGTAGCCAGGGACACGATGTGTGGCCAAAAGGCTTGTTTCGCACGCCTTGGCATAAAAACCGTCTGAACCTGCAAGTTACCTAACTGGCAGGATCCAACATGACAGTTGCGGCCCCTCAGCTCTGCCCATACTGATTCTTGAGCTTGGACTCAGCACGAAGTAGCCTGGCACCCAGGGTCTGGTCAATGGCCCAACCTGCAGTTACGGGCGAAGGACCATTCGAGCTCATGATCTTCCCAAGTCTTTCTTGTGGCTCCGAGTTAATATTCGAAGTAACCCAACCGTCACCACCACAACAGTTGTCACAACCAACACCGCCAGAACATCACCACTCGGATGGGATGAGACCACCGGGCCACCGGCACACCTACGGGACACCACGCGACACTGGTCTTTGCGGGTTTTGGGGGGTTGGTGAAAGGCAAATCGAAGGGACATTCTGCGTCGGGGCCCGAAATTAGGACACACGTGCCATCTGCCCGGCGCGATACTGTTGCTGAGTGCGTGCCGAAAAGCAGCAGTGAGATTTCAGTGATTGATCCAAGTACTTGAAGGAAGTTTCATCTAGCCCAATTAGCTGCTGCGTTTTGGTTTGCAGCCCGCAAACCGCTGTTCTGGCCGTCTGTTTGGCCAATCCAATCTGGCTGTAGGGCGAGGTTCCGAAGGCCATATCAGGCGGCCTTCGGGGGGTTGGTTTCGACATAAGTTTGTTTTTTGCCCGTCGGCCGACATGTCGTCTCCCACAAGAACACAAATGTTCACTCCGATTCAGACTTTTAGAATCCCAGACCCTGGAGGTGCCCTTCTTCCTTCAGAGGGAATTGTCCTTTAATCTCTACCAAAAACTAGTTGCCCTTCGTTTCCTCGGCCACTGGAGGTCTCCGAAATCTCGGAATGAAATTCCGTTTACTTGAGTGGGGAGGGTACTGCGCTTCACCGGGAAAGAAACCGAACCTCTGCCCTTGGGCAGTTCCTATGGGAAGTGTCCCTTGGCTCACCGCACCCTTCACCCCACGCCCCAGGGCCAGAGACTTTGGGCTCCGCGTTTCGCAAAGAGTCCGAAGGCAAAGTGCTACGCATGGTGCTCGTCTAGTGCTCGGGCTTTGTCTGGTCCAAAGAGTAGTCCTTTGGGCCTGCTTATTTTACCCATTTCAAGGGCAAGAGGTGAACTTATTTCCATGCTTCTTTGGGCAGATGTTCCATGCTTTTCGAAGCGGAATCTCAAAAGGGTGGGCGACTGTCCTCTCAACGCAGACCTTCGACGTCGCAGCTGGAAAGGACACCGCGGGCGTTCCCCGAAAGCACTCGGATTCACAAGACGGTTTTAGTTTCCTTCAGTTTTGAAATGATCCCCCAAAGAGGCGTTGTGCTGTCGCAAAGGACGCAGCCACCAGGGTTCCCATAGTGTTCGTATGCTGGAAATTTAGTCAAAATTCATCGTTCCAGGTTGTGTGAGGAGTCCATCAATCTCTGTGCCTGGCCAGCAGCACTTAGTTGGGCTACAAGTAAAGTGCGTGGCTCGAATCTGTACGCCCGCTGGCCTGCACAAAGTCCGCTGGCCGAATACAAAAGGTTTATGAGGCCGTGTTCGAGTTACCCTGCTTGCTTTGCGTTGGTTCGTGCAGCTTACGCGGGCTACATTTGGCATACGTCTATGTAATGTTGGCCGGCGCAGTGACGCGTGTGCTTCAAGCAGCCCCTCTTGTCAGTCAGTCAAACCGCTTTCAACGCAGCCGCGTGTTCAGTCAGCACTTTCGAAAGAGGGGCGCGCGCTTTTCGCGTCAAACTCGCTTCATGAGCTCGCCCAAGGCGCCAGGTGAGCTATTGACGCTTTCGGGCTGGTGCCTATAGTCAGCAATACGCGGAACTGTGGAGAGACTGAGCAAACGCTCCAAATACAATGGCGCGACGTGTTGCTTTTCGAAGACCTGGCGTTCGTCAGGCTTTGGGTAAGTTATGGTAAGTTGCTGAGTCTTGGCCCCCAAAGCTGGCAAGATTGCAGAACGCGAGTCAGCGTTCTGCAGGCCAAGGAGAGCACCGACCCTTCAATTTCTTGGGCCTGCTTATTGGGGTCATTCCAAGGGCAAGAGTGTCGAAGCGGAATCCCAAAGGGGTGGGCAATTGTCCTCTCATTTTAGACCCTCTGCGTCGCAGCCGGAAAGATGCACGGCATTCCCCGAAAGCACTCGGATTCGCAAGACGGTTTGAGTTTTGTTCAGCTCCGACATGCTCCCGCAAAGAGGTGTTGATGTTGTACTGTCGAGAAACGCAGCCACCAATAGATTTTCTCGCCCCAGCACGAATGTCTAGAGAAAAAGATGGACACCCTGCACAACGCCACGCAATTCGCTGCTTTGTCCAAATTGCGGCAGAAACCGTACGCCCACTAGCCTGGGTGAATACAACAAGCAGCGGAACCAGCTTGCTCTTTCCGTTGGTTTGTGCAGCCTACGCGGCCGACATTGTATACCTATAGCGCGAGGCCCGTCAGCTTCATGAGTCGCTCCAGGCGAGCTATTGACTTTTCAGAGGCTGAAGTGTGACCACAAGTATCTCACGGAACTGATGAAGAGACCGAGCAAACGGTTCAATATTGTCTCTGAATCCAACAGGACGTTGCGTATCACAGTCAAGTGACTGTAGATGGCGCGGTTCTTTTAGTTTTGATGAAGAAACACCAAAACGCAACCGGCGCAGACATCACCAGCAACAGTAACGCCACCAGAGCGCCAGCAGAACACCAAAGCACACGCTGGTCACCAACACCGGAGCACCACCAAAACACCATCAGGGCACCGCGCCCGGGGCCTTGAAACACCACTCGGACACAAACAATACTGTGTCACCTCACGGGCTCCGAAACGGCCAGGCCACACGCTTCCAGCAGGTGGGCAAGCGCTTCGGAGGCGAGGAAGTTGAGGGAGCTTGTGTACAAACATGAGGCAAAAGTGGTTCAGATACTCCGCTACAAAATGCCAACAAAACAACTTGAGCGCTGGTGGCGGAAGCTGGGCGATGGGCAAAGTTTCTGATTTTTGCATTTTCTCCGGGAGGCGCTATTTCATTGCTAGCAGTCTTGTAGTTTGATTTTTTTGGGTGGGGGAGGGGGCTGAATACTTCTTGCAACAATTTTTTGTATGGGTCATTTCAAGCCGTGTGCCGGCCACAATGCCGAATATTTCTTGATCCATGTAGCGCGATAATCGAGGGCAGAACAAGTCCAGAATTTCTGTTGCTCTGCCAACTCACGTTAGCTGGCTATGTGGCGACGACGACTTCAGTCACCATTTAAGAAGCTGTCCGCTGGCGCCAAGAAGCACGATTGATGACCCCTGGTTGATTCAAGCTGATCCGGCCACAATCCTTCGACCCAACAACCTCAATGCCTGGCAGAGCCTGTGTTTTCTTTGAGATCAAAGGTTGAGCGAACGAGAGTCCCCGGAGGCATGGAGTTGCCCAGGGTTGCTCCGAGCCTTCACAAGATGAGCCCACCACAAAGATAGAACTTGGTTTGCATTCCTTTAATTGCGCCAAAACAATGTCAGCTTGACCGATCGGGTATTAGGAGCAATTGTTGGATGTTCAATGTCAACATACTTAGTAGCCCACAAATTTCTTATAGTTGTTTGGCGTTTCACTGCGAAATCTAGTCATAGCCTACTTACCTTGCTGTTTCTCAGCAGGGAATGAGGGGGTCATTCCCTGTACACCATTTGTTCTGGTTTTATTTAAGGAGATCGCTTGGTTAAAATATTTATATTCATTTTACACATGTATCGTAATTATAAGAGTTCAATCCCCCGAAACTAGGATCTCGATGCCCTATCATCATTTGAAATTCCCCATACCTAGTTGAACATACATAGCCAAATCATTTCTTATGTTAAGTCTACCATTCCATGCTGTTTCACTGCAGGTTCTAAGATTCTAGGTTCACTCCCCAAAGCCGGAAGGGTCATTCCTTGGGCAAGTGACTCGTAGCCTTGCGTCAGGCGCCGCCATGGCCACGCTGGGCGGACCTGCCGCTCAGACCCGCGAGGAGCGGGACCCTTTGCTGCGGAAGCCCAAGGGGCCCCTTGGCAGATCTGACGTCGACCAGTTGGATGGGGGAATCCCAGAAATCCAGTCGACCCAGCCCCAAAAAATCCGACTGGATATAAGACCCCCCCATAAAAATCGAGGGGAACGCAGCAAGCCCACAGTACCCCGGATAGATCCCCAAGCATAGGTGTCCTGTTTGCTTGTTTTGGTAGTAAAATAGATGGCGATTCGTGGTTTACCTGGTGGTTTAATCATCTACCAGGGTCATTGATTTCCCCTAAAAGGACACCTATGTCCCCAAGGGAACGCAGCAACCCCTGAGTACCCCGCCCTGATTCACCCTTATGAACCCTAGGAACACAAGACTGGATACAAAATCCCCATTTAAAAAAGCAAGTCGAAAAGGGTTTGGAGCTGGATATGAGATCCCCATAACAAATCAACTAGGGATGGAGCTGGGTATAAGATCCCCTTGATTTAAAAAAAGGGCAAGCCAGCAACCCCTCACCCCTGATTCACCCTCAAAAGCCCACTGGCTACTGTAGAAGATCCCCACGGGAACGCAAGTCAACCCCTCGGCTCCCCTGATGTACCCTGAAAACCCTCGAACCCCTCAGAATTCGTCCGTATCGAGAGAAAGCCACGTTCCCGCTTTTACCATATGTTACCAGCCTTAATTAGAACCCAAGGGTGGGATTGAATTGAGCCCATTTCCGAAATGGACATTTTGTGTCAGCTATTTCGGAACTCGCAGTCCGAATCCTTCTTTTCTTCAAGCCTTCTCTATGCTTATTTCACCTTAGCAGTTGCGTGTCGACTTTCTCTTTAGGTTTCGACCTACTGTAAGCGCAACCCAATGGATCGTAAATGGCTGAGCGGGAGTGCGGGACAGGACGGTTCACGATTCAATGGAGATTGAGGCAAGCAAGACTGGACACAAGGATTCCACAGCACACAAGTTTGCAGCACTTTGCGAATCACCGCTATGTTTTCCCACTGAGCTGACACTTTGATCAAAGTGCTGTCAATCCAGAGGCATGTATGACGTGCACTGGACTTGCAAAACAGGAACTGATCAGTCGACAGGCTAGTGCGTCTGTGACTAGCACTTGTATTTGACGCTCGAGCGCAACAATGGATAACACGGCCACACGGCCTTGTCTGAAAGCAATGGCAATTAGGGTAGACTTAGGATACATTTTATATTTTACCAGTGACTCAAAGGGAAGCAAACAATAGAATATACATTATATAACTGGGCCTAGTTCTAATCATGGCAAGTTCCCTGGTTAACGCGTCTTCTCGGGTGACGAGTGCCTTTCCTCGCGCGGGACTGAGTGAGTTGGCTGGCTTGGAGCTCCGTGATGAGGTCGACTCGCACCACACGGCCATGAGAGGTGGCCGGTCAACTCCGCTTTCCACCTTTGAGAAAATGTATTCTTTGGGGCATTTTGCCAAGGGATGCTAGGACTTTAACTTTTTGCCAACTATTGGGTTTTCCGAATTAAACCACTAAAAGTCAAACTTTTAGCAGGGGAGCAGAAGGCAACCAAGTATTGATTGAAGATTATTGGTGTAAGGATACCCCGCCAGTCTAATTATTTCGGCCCTTGTATATAGTCGTCGCATGCATCTCACTGGGTGAGCACTGGATGCTGATATTGCTATGGTGCTTCTTGTCGTTTTGTTTTTTCAGTAGATGGTTTGATGCAAGTGACCCGTTTCAACAAACTGTATCTCCTGCCTCCACAATATTTCTGGACAGTATGTCGGTATCTTGCCAAACACCTTTTTGGCTGGCTTACTTGAAGCAAAGCGTTCTGCACAAGTATGAGACAAGTGCACAAGCAGACGACGGCCCAAATGCGAGCTGCTGGAGTATGCAAGCAGTACCCAGCGAAATCAACGGACGCACCAATCAGTAAATGTTCGATCCACCGTGTCAGCCTGGATCAATCAATGAACCAGACGAACAAGCTACGTGTTTTGCTGCAGTGAAACATGCTAGTTTGTGAATCTGCTGGCAAGCAACAGTCGTGCGATAGAATTGGTTGCTCGAAGGCGAAGAAGCACCGTTTTGCCAGTGCTTCAGCGATGCACAACTGGGAGCAGCTGAGCAAACCGACGATGTTGTTCAGAGACACTAGTCTTTGGCTAGCAGACAGGGTCCTGGTGTTACCTGTGAGTGTGTGCCTCTCATAGACTTACTTTTTAAGATTGGGGCAGTTGGATAGTACATGTTTGCCATTCGCCTTGAACACGGTAAACATTTAGGCAACTAGTTTAATGTCATAGGCCAAGCAACAAAACAAGAGATGTTACAATTGGTGCATGTTGCGGGGCATGTTTCAATGAAGCCCATGTGAGAGCTGAACTGGCAAGTGTTTCAGAAATTTGCAACATCACGATTCATGGGTGTGGAAGACGGGCTTGGGCGATTTTCTGTGATAAGGGACTTCGGGACTGCCCCTATGACCAAGTGCCTGCTACAAAAGAAGAACCAACCGGGTTTTGCACCTGCTCGTCGACAACCAGGTTTTCGGCGGACAAATATGGTTTTGCTTCCTGAAACCCGTGCAGAAACCGTACGACACTCGTATAAAAGTAGTACAAACCCCGTATTTTCTGTATGCTTTCTGCAGGTCTCTTCTCTGAAAACCTGGTTATTCTTGGAACCCTCTTTTGTGTAGGCTTTTGGAGTAGCAGGTAGTCGCCAAGATGGCCCCACGGTGGTATCACAGAAAGGATTTCGCACAACCCATGACACCAGTTCGGCTCCGGCAAACATTTCACTCGCAGAAAGCGGAAGGCGCGGCGCCTTCAGGCCCTCAGCGGCCCGCAATGCGTTAGATTGGGAGGTACTCCTAGCAAGCAGGTGACTCCATCGGATGCACAGATTGAATCCTTAGCATAGGCACTGTGGCCATGAGCGATGGTCATGACATGGGGCGCACTCACCAAAAATACAGCTATAGTAGGAAATAGGTCTTATTCACCAAATGATGCAACGTCATTCCGGGACACCATGAAAAATCAAATCGCCTTTGCTTTTTGCGCTTTGAACCAGGTGGTAATGACAAATGCCAGTGCCTCAACACTTATCATGCAGAAGATCATCTGATCTTTCTCAACATGGAAGACTTTGGAATGGTTCAAGGATTGTTCCCCTTGAGCAACGATTCCGACTTCAGCCTTAGCTGTTTGGGGTGCTAGGATGCGAGCCAAACGGAAGGGGCACCTGTGTCAAGAGTACCTACAGTACATGTACCTTGCCCAATTCGGTGCACCCGGGCTCGAGAAGCCTCTTGCAAATGGATCCGCTCAGAAAGAGAATCAAGGTGCTGGCTGACTGCGATGTGCTTCGCTGTTCGCACGTGTTGTGTGTCAAGCAAAAGGAATGGGTGACAGCGTGTGTTCTTTTTGGGATCTCCTGAACTCCGATTTGCATATGATATCTTCCACCAATGTGATGCGGTATGTGACAATCACAGGAGTGAAACGCCGTGATATTTCGGCCAGTGTTTGTTTGGCCAACTGAAGCGTGGATCTCAATCTTCTTCGATCCGCTGCACGCAGGCCGTAGGTGTGGTGAGATTTAATGAGGCATGATGCCCTTGGCATGAAATTTTGGTGATTCTGCTTACTGATTGGGGTCATCCTTGTGGGAAAGACATCTTCGCACAAATGACTTTACCTTAAACATGCGGACTAGAAGCGCACCAGCGTTTCTTGCCCTTTGAGATACGCACTCGTGTTTGAATATGTCATGCTGCAGCACTACGGTTGAACAAGTTCAAGGGAACCCAGTGATTTGTACATCTCAGTGATCCACAAAAACATGCGACTTGTGCACTTTTGTTCTGCCTTTGCGTGCTGCAGCGCTCGTCGCAGGAGAACCCATTAGGTGCCAAAACAACACATGACCAGTCAACACTTTATGGTGTGTCAATGCACAACATATTGGTCAGACAGTCAACAAATTCATGTACACCTAGAATGTGACAATACGCGCTTGTATGTGCACACACACACACACACAAAACCATGGTCAAATGAAGACAAAGTTTGGCCATGCCAGCTCATGCGTTCGCTCCAGAACAAGGGTTCAGCAGGAGGTCTTAGTTTATTCTTCCTCCGAAAATCATGGAAGCTGACAGGAGGGTTCAGAAGACTGTTCTTCAGGGAAGCCTTCTGTCCAATTCTATGATTGGAAAGAGGGTAGTCCACTGCCTGGCTTTGTGCATGGCGCCCTTTGATCTGAACCAATCCATTGCCGCCGGCCCTTTCACGCATGTTGCTTCCCCCCCCCCAGAAAGAGTAGCTGTGGCAGTATTGCTGGAGCATTGGTGAACATTGATGGCACCGTCTCCACATTTTGGGGTCATCCCCTTTACTCAGCGATAGAAAGGAAACTGTGCCATGCCTGCCAATCCTTCGGGACAAATTGTGGGCTCAGCGATCCTGCAAAAGCTCACCCAAGGGATCTTCTTTTGGGATTGCATGACTCAAGTTGGTGACTTCTCCCGGGTCTATCTTACAGGGAACGGCATGAAGCTTTGGCAACAGCGACAACAGAACATTTCTCGAGTGTAGGACCGACCTCATTTTGAGTTGGTGATGTGGGCTGAGACCAGGGTCCTTTCTTGAATAATTGATTCATGGCAAGCGGCATCTCAATGTAGAGACTGTCGCTGGCAGGTCTCAAGCAGAGGAAGAACATCAAGAAGAGCAAGAAGGGCTCTTGATCCCGGCACGCCGTTTCGGCCGTTTCGGCCGTTTCAGGTGAAACGTTGCCCAGACGATACAAGGTGAACCACTTTCAAAGGCTTCACAAACCACAGGTTTCGGCCACAAGTCTAGATCACAATGAGGACCATTTTCCAATATGAAGTGGTTCCTGTAGATGGTTGCTTACTTGTCGTCCTTGATGCAATGCATGTGCGTTTTCATGGCAGCAGTTTAGCTGGAAACGCCTTCAGGCCTGCCCTGATCACCGTGAAAACCAGGGAAGCCTCCAATCGATTGCATGTTCGGCCCACCCAAAAGGTCCCAATCGATCTGATGCGGCCATTGTTTTGAAGACCACTGGATACTCATGCAAGCAGACTGCCTTCTGTTGCTGAGCTGGTCAAATGTGCGGAGCAAGGAGGTGTTGGACATGCCCTGTTACAGCACCTGAGTAAAGACCGGAGGGGTCTTCTTCGGATAGAGCTACATTACCACCGTGTATTGGTTGTGTGCCGTCCGAAAGCCCTGTTAGCAGGTTCAATGATCAGCTCGCAAAAACACAGCAGAACCATGGTGGATCGCTCGCTCAGAACAGTAAAAACGGTTCTGGCTCTCGGAATCATCTTGTGTCGCCATGGACGCACACAACGAACACACACATGGGTATGGGTCAAATTTAAACCACCAGAGGACCGCAGGTTTTAGTCTTTGTTACCACTTACCAGGGTTCAATTTTGGGTACCTATATTGGCCCCACAGCCACATTTGTCCAACTCATGCGGATCAGGGTGCAGATGCGGCCTATGTGACAGATCGATAAGATGGGCTGCACTGCTTCGCATGCGCTTGCCCCACGCAGCTGCGAGACATCGCAAGAAAAATGTGCTGCGCAGTTTCCCGTGTACATGGGCAAGAGAGCCATAGTTGCCAGACGTATGCACACTCAAGCACATGAACCAACAAAACAAACACTCAAGCAAGCAACCAAGCAACTGAGCCAAATAAATCCAAGCCAACCAACAAACTAACCAACCAAGCAAGCAACCAATCAAGCAAGAAAGCAAGCAAGCTAAAAGCAAGCATGCAAACAAACACACACACACACACACAAACACTGTCAAACAAACAAGCACGCAAGAAAGCGAGAAAGCAAGAGAGCAAGACAGCAAGAAAGCAAGAAAGCAAGAACGTAAGAATACAAGAAAGTGAGAGAGTAAGTAAGTAGGCAGGTAGGCAGGCAGGCAAGCAAGCAAGCAAGCAAGCACGCAAGCAAGCAAGCAAGCAAGCAAGCACGCAAGCAAGCAAGCAAGCAAGCAAGCACACACACACACACCGACACCCATGTGTGCACATGTTTACCTTCATGACGTTGCTTTGACCTGCCTTCGAGATAGCCAGTTTGAGGTCTCTTGATTCAGGCGATGTGCGATGTCCTCAATGGCATGCCACGCATGTATGGCAACCAGGCATCCTGCAAGCAATACATGGCCCTGCATGTCAATGTGTTTGGTAGGACTGTGATGCAACACGCGTGCCAGCTCGCAATGTCCTGGCTTCAGCATGAGCTGTGTGGGGAGCTTATGATGATTCAGCTTCTGCTAATCCCTCCACACAGCCCCTACTTTTGAGCATGCTTCTCCAAGTGCCTTCCATCCCTCTGGGACAGCCGCAGTGCAATGAAGCCAGCGAGGCGCCACAATGAAGCCAGCGAGTCAGCGCGTCTCTGTTTGGTTCT